ATGTCGTTCAACCTCTTTAGGTTTGTGTAAGGAACCATCCCAAAGTGACTGTAGTTTAGGAGCGAGTCCTTTGCGTCGACTCAGATTCCACAATAAAACCTAGTAGTCTTCATTGAATCGATGTCCTCGTGTCTTGTCAAGTCTTCATCTTCTCCGCTGCCAAACTAACGCGTTTTCGTGCAAAATTATGTATCACTTCGAACCGTGCCTGGAAATGTTGGATGTACAGCTCTGGAAGTGAGGGCGCATCCGGAGGGCGACCAAAGATGACATCACAAAGCAGATGATGGTCACGAGTCACAGAGTCGAAGAGCATCTAGAATGGAGAATAGCCAGTGGTTGCGTTGACAGTACTGCGATAGACCAGTGAGAACAGTTGTAGCTTCTTATCCAAGTTCTTTCAATTTCTGGAAACCACCACGGAGAGATTATTAACACTATCATCGCGGCAATGGGGCGCTTTTCTCCCAATCTCTGCGCCGTTCTCCGCAGCCCTAAAATTGAAACAAAACACAAATTCCTTTAAAACTTGTTTATTTTACCTTGAAAAATGATAATAAATTGCAATCAATAACAATTCTCACTGTAATGATTTATTTGTACTTACAGGCATAATAATAGAAAAATAAAAATATTAATAAAATAAAAATAAAAACCTAAATATTGCATTAATTAGAATCTCTCTGAACTATGATATTTTTCAAAACAAGGTACTACACATAATGCTGGTTTTGATAAGGATGTTTTGCACAGATAACGAATCTCTCGGCGAATTTTGTGCGAATTATATATGACACTCTTCCGTGTTGGCGTAGCCTTACTTCAGGTTGCTGTTATTATGTCCGAGTAATGTTGTCCTTCCATGCGCGACGTATCAGAGGATTTATGAAAGAGAACGAGAAACGTAATAAAAGCAAAGAAACGTAATGAAAGTGAATAAAAACGAGAAACATAATAAAGATGAGAAACGAGAAACGTAGTAAAAGTTGAGAAACGTAATAGAAGTAAATAAAAAAGAGAAACGTAATAAAAGTAAATAAAAAAGAGAAATGTAATAAAAGTGAGAAACGAGAAATGTAATAAGAGAAAACAAACAAAGAAAGAAGACAAACAGAGAGAGAAACAGGGAAAGTAATAAAAGTGAAAGAGAACATACGATCAGGATCCCCGATGCCACTGTGAAGTTAAACAGAAGGAGAAAAAGTGAAAAAGAATGTACGAGAAATGTAATAAAAGTGAAAGCAATACAAAGTGTGCTCCTGGCGCCACTTTGTAGAAATGTTGTAAAGACAAAATATTACGGTATGCTATACGCTAAAATGTCGACGAAATAAGTCGCGGGACACGTTGCAATAATATAGAAAAAACTTATGTAAAGGACGAGTTATCTCGTCTCTGGCGCAAAACGAATATTCCTGGAAGACGCGTTGCGTCGTCCGTCGCGATGAAAGTGTTAAGAATGGTTCAGTTAAACGTCTCTACCATACCGTATGACTGGGGATGTAAAGGCGCCGTTTGGGATTTGTCGATGCTGAGTTTGCTTGCAGAGTTCTTCAATTACAGCAGAGGTTAAATTTCTTCTTCGATCAGAATGTAACTGAAGAGGCGCTCCGAATGGGGAAATCCAACGCTGTATCACTACATATGCTACCATGACAACCTCTTGAGAAGGAATAGGATACGCCTCAGTCCACTTCGTGAAATAATCAATGACAACGAGGATGTATTTGTCTCAATCAGCAGTTCGTGCCAGAGGTTACAGGATGTTAAAACCGATACGTTTAAAAGACGCTCCTACATTGTAACATTGTAGCTTCCCTCGGCTGCGATTCCTTAGCCTTTTCTGACCTGCACAGGTATCGCAAGATAGGCACCACTTGTGCACGTCAGCTTTTGAATTACTCCAGAGAACTCTCCTCAAACTCTCCTCAAAGTCTTCGTTATTCCGAAGAGGCATTCCGTTGGACTAATTTGTAGTTTTTTAAGATTATTCGGGATCTTGGAATTATGAGCTGCCATTGGAAAGCCTTTCCATTATCAGATTCAAATTTCCGGTAGAAGACGCCGTTTCGAATAAGGAGGGAGTACCAGAGAGCCCAATATTTCTTTTCATCGGGGTATATATAGAAATGTCCTTGCAGGTAGATATTTTCTGTTTCAAGACGCCATTAATTCAATTATGGGTCTAATGTCGCTGTCCTCCAACTGATTCTTCTGACTTCGTCGTCATTCGATGGTTCTCGATCAGTCGATGTTGATGTTTTAATTTGCATTGCTACCGGTTTAAAGAGCTCGTATTTTGCTTCGAACATGAAAAAATAGGCGCATAATTTTGAACAGAGTCTTCCAGATAAGGCGTCGCGTTTCCAGGTAAGGACTCCTTCCAATTACAGATAGTTATGTCCTCAGAGGCTGAATGTAGCTCATTACTTTTAATGTCAAAGGAAAAGTTATATTTCTTTAGGAAGTCCAATCCGAATATGTAATAACTGCTAGATATGCCATGTGAGGGTAGGCCGTACTTTCCAACGTGATGTTTACGTTTAACGCCCCATCAATTTCGATTATATCACGAAAGGCAGTCTGGAGTGTAACACAGGATGGCATACAAATGAGTTCATCTTTAAACTGTTGAGCTAAATCGTTTCGAATGGCGGTAACATTGGCTTCTGTTATTCAATGGTTGTATTGCAAACATCTCGATTCATATGCTCATTGATAAATACTCCATTACTGCTGCCACTCATGCAGAAATCTGAAGCGCTTTCAAATGGAGTTTCTTATTACCTTTCAAACTCCGCTCCGAGAGATGGCCTCTAAATAGTTTCTTGCGTCGTTGCTAGGGAATTGTCTCATTTGTCGTGCTCTGGGGTGCTCTGAAATTCCTTCGCATGTGGCCTTCACCGCGCCATTTCCACCAAATTAAAATCGATTTGTTTTTAGTCCTGTTCCGTATCATGGCATGGACATGTCTGGTTAAATCGTCTGAAAAGAGAGTCAATTGATCCACTGACTCTTGGATTTAAATAGCTCTGATTATGTGGTGGTCTGTATCAGTTGCTTGCTGAGCTGTTTTGCATTTCATTGCGTATACTAGAGCACTTTTTAAATCCTTGACATCCGCAATTCTCAGAACGTTTTGTATTTCAGGATCCCCGATGCCATCTATGAAGTCCTGCAGGGACAGGATTTCCCTTGTTTTTGTTGGACACTCCAGGAAGGCAAAATGGGAAAGCCTTTCAACATCCGTGGCGAGTTCCTGGAGTGTTTCCGCGACGTTCTGTTGATGTGATTTTAGTTAAAGACTGTTTTCCCAGCGGCTTTGTATGGCGCTTTTTCTTTCCAAATTCAGTGAACGGAAGCTCGTTTGTGTGCGTCTTGTAATGTGTATCTCCTGTAGTAGAAAGAAGTTCCGCAATAAGTGCAGTAGGAGTAATGGTTTTTGAAGTATCGCACTGCTGTTGTAATGCCTAGATTTGCGCCTGTAGCTGAGCGCAAACTATCTCTTGTTCAGCGAACTGTGTTTAAAAAGCAAGTTACTTGCTTCCTGGCAGACGCGCTGAGTTTTTTAGAATATTTACGATGTCTAATGAACAACTGTAGTTGGTCACAGGTATGATTGATAGCCTCTATTCTGGAGGCGGAAGTAGAAGAGTTTGCTGTGCTCCTGTCTACAGAAGGGAAGTTCTTATTTAGTTCTTATGTAGCTAATTGGGTCCGCTGAAGTGGCTGACGTATTTGGATGCATATTTAAATCACAGTAATGCACATAAAGTAATTATAAGTGCAGTGAAAAGCATTGAAATTACGGTATTAGGTAGGAACATAAAGTAAGTGTAAGCGTAGTATATAATACTGAAGTAATTGGGGAAAACACTTCGCGTGCTACAAGAACTAGCGCTAATGGCACTAAGACAGAAAACTGCCAGCAGCGCCCTGTAACATTACAAAATTGAAATGAGAAGTAGTAACCTATACTTAGCAAACTATGGTAGTTACCACGTATCTAGGAAATGCCGTTATTTTTTAAACTGCAACTTGGAATCCTTTCAAGGTCGAGAGCCCGGAGGGGGGCGGGGCTGTTTAACGATTCTCAAACAGACCCCCTACCTCTGCAAGGCAGCTCTTCCGTCACCACCGAAAAAACCGGAAATTTGTTATCCAGAGTACAAAAAAAACAAAGCTAAATTTTGATTTTTATTCTAAAATTTATACCTTTTAAAATCGGATTGAATTTTAAATCGCTAGGAGTAATTAGCTCAACTTCTTTCAGCATTTTACTTTGAAATAATTAATAACAAACATTTTAAAATTTCGCGTAGAAGATATTTTATAATAAATAAAGTAGTTATTACTTGTTAGAAATCAGATCTGAATTCCATGTGAAATTTCAGTCTACTAGCAACTAGCGCCGGGCAGTGAGATCGAACTTATCCATTGAGCCATGGTGGTTTGGGAGATTCCTAATTTAAAATGTTACTTGAATTTAAAATGTCACTTACAATTTAAAAGATATACTGTTTGCCCACTGAATGAATTTTACTCGCAGTCTGCTGTTCAGATAGCATAAAACACTAATTTAAGAGGTAATCTCAATACGTACAAGATAGTAAGAATAGCCTTTGCTTCTATTCTGTAAATTATGCACCCTGCGCAAGTCTTATTTTTGGAATATACATCTCGTATCTCATATGAGTGTTTTTATTCTGGTTATGTTGTTTGTGGTCATGCAGTAAAATGTAGGAACATTGATTTCTATTGCACAATTTAATGGAAAGTGTTTTTTTTATCAAGTATAGAAATAAATTTTAAGATAATAAGTAAGTGGATAAATTATTGAAATCAGAAGCAAAATCGCAACCATTTATTGCCAACAGATAAATATTTTTGGTTATTATAGTTCATTAAATTATACGCGAAACTTTCATGTTTTACTAATTTCATTTTGTTTGAGAGTTTTTTGCTTATTATCATAATTAAGATGAGGCTTCCCATTGCAGGATATCGAAGAAATCTTTGCTACACATTTTGCTGGTCAAACAAGAAATATTCAAAATGTCTGGAACCTCTGCATTGTTAATTAAAAGACAAATGAAATTCAAAAAAGCCATATCTATAAATATAGCAGCTACAATAATAGCTTTTTTATTATATTTAGAACACGTTCTAAAATCAGAAGCGTATGGTTCATATTTGCATCTTTTCATTATACTTATGTCATTGATCAACTGCTTTAAATCATACAAATCAATGAAGAGCTATGAAGCATTTTATGAGCAGATGATTGATCAGTATAAAACAGAAATGCAAAACGCTGAAGATTTCAAGGACGTGCTTCCTGAATTTAAAGAATTTATGAAACTCAATAATGAGGAACCAGAACTGAAAACTTGGAATTCAGAAATGAATACACCTATCTCTGTAATATGTCTTGCATTACTAGGCACTTACGCTTTAGCAAAAATATTTCAAGATTATTTGTTACATTATTACAATATGATAAATAATATATGGTTATATATATCTTTTTTGATAACAATGGGTTACTTAATATTTGATGATCAAAATATAGCAGAATGTATGAATCAAGATATTAGAAATTTTAAAGAACGAATGAAGAAATATACCTCAAAAAACTTTTCTAACTTCCTTGATGTAAAATCTGAGATTCGAAAACAGAGTTGTCATGGTGATGCGAGTTCAAAAGTTCTTCAAAACAGTTCGAAAATTACACGAGAAATAATTCCAGAAGAAAAAACACACTTTTACATAAGTGATAAAAGCACTAACCATGAAAATGAGAACTGCTATATAAGTCAAGAAACTACACATAACAAAGGAGAGACAAAAAATTTGAATTTAAATACTTCAGATTCCAGAGTCCACCAAGCTGAAACAAATATCACAGAAAAAGAAGAAACAGCAGGAAAATCAGATAACAACTTACACAATGAACAGGAATGCAGATTACAACTGATTGCGAATATGACAGAAAAAGAAATTCATTCAGAGGCATTTAATCAAGACCATAACATGAAAGAAATGAAGCAAAATGAGGAACAGTGGAATTCTGTTCCTAAAGAAAATATCCTTAAACAAAGAGAAAATAATAACGGGGAATTGAATTCTTCAGATCTTAACATAGACGAAGTTGAGGGGAATATTGCAGGAAAAGAGAAAATCCCAGTAAAAGCTTCAGACAACCTACAAGGGATGGACGGAAAGAAAAACAGATCAGAAACGATCTTAAATGGGACAGGAAAAGTTGCTGAAAAAGACATTAACGTGGGTGTATCGACTCAAGACTACAGTGAGAAAGACATCAAGCGAACTGAAGAGCAGGCGACTTTAGTTCCTAACGATAATATCAATGAACAAAGAGAAAGTAATAACGGGAAAGCAAATCCGTTAGATCCGTGCACAAACGAAACTAAAACAGATGTTGCAGGGAAAGCGCAAACATTAAGAAAAGCGCTTAATAAAATACAAGGCATGAATGAACAGGAATGCTCATCAGAAGTGACCGTAAGTGTGACAGGACGAGATTATGAAAAAGACGTTGATGAAGCTGCATCGAATCAAAGCCGTAATAAGAAAGACAACAAGCGAAATGAGGCACAAGAGAATGCAAGTTTTGACGAAAATATCATTCAACCAAAAGAGAGTAATAAGGTACAATCAAGTCCTCCAGATTGCTGTGCAGACAAATCTGAAACAGATAGTGCTAAAAAAGACGAAATGTCACGAAAAACTTATTGCAACATAACATTGAGAGCTGAAGAGTACTGCCCATCAGAATCCATCGCTGATGTGAGAACAGATTCGGGAAAAGATATTCTTCCGTTTGCATCGAGCCAAGACCATACTGAGAAAGACATCAAGCAAAATGATGGACAGACGAATTCCGTTCCATAACAATATTATCTTTGAACAAAGAGAAAATAATAATGGGGAATCAAGTTCTTCAGACCTTAACACAGACGAAGCTGAGAGGAAAATTGCAGGAGAGGAGGAGACCCCAATAGAAGCAGATGGTAACCTACAAGGGATAGACGAAAATAAAAACCGGCCAGAAACTATTGCAAATGGCACAGAAAAAGATTCTGAAAAAGATATTAACGTGGGTGCATCGAGTCAAGACCACAGTGATAAATACATCAAGCAATCTAAGGAGCGGGGGACTTTTGTTCCTGACGATAATATCGATGAACAAAGAGAAAGTAATAATATGGAGTCAAGGGCTTCAGATCCTAGCAGAAACGAAGGTGAAATACATGTTTCAGGGAAACAGGAAACACTAAGAAAAGCGCATAATAATGTCCGAGGCATGAATGAACAGAAATGCTCATCAGAAGCGATCGTAAATGTGACAGGACGAGATTCTGAAAAACACGTTGATACATGGCCATCGAATCAAGGACGTGAAGAGAAAGATAGCCAGAAATATGGGACTTTGAAGAATTCATTTTCTGACGAAAATATCATTGAACCAAAAGAGACTAATAAAGTACAACCAAGTACTTCAGATCGCTGCACGGACATAGTTGAAACGAATAGTACTGGAAAAGAGGAAATATCAAGAAATACTCATTGCAACATAACATTGAGGGGCGAAGAGAACTGTCAATCAGAATCGATCACCGATGTGAGAAATGATTCTGAAAAACATGTTCGTCCGGTTGCATCGAGCGAAGATCACACTGAGAAAGACATCAAACAAAATGATGAAAAGAGAAACTCCGTTCATAACAATGTTATCTTTGAACAAAAAGAAAATAATAACGGGGAATCACGTTCTTCAGATTTTAACACAGACGAAGCTGAGAGGAAAATTGCAAGAAAAGAGAAAACCCCAATAAAAGCAGATGGCTACCTACAAGGGATGGACGAAAAGAAAAAACGATCAAAAACGATCTTAAATGAGACAGGAAAAGATTCTGAAAAAGATATTAATGTGGGTGCATCGAGTCCAGACCACAGTGATAAAGACATCAAGCAATCTGAGGAGCAGGAGACTTTTGTTCCTGACTATAATATCAATGAACAAAGAGAAAGTAATAACATGGTATCAAGGGCTTCAGATCCTAACAGAAACGAAGGTGAAACAGATGTTGCAGGGAAAGAGGAAACATTAAAAAAAACGCATAATAACATACAAGGCATGAATCAACAGGAATGCTCATCAGAAGCGATAGTAAATGTGACAGGACGCGATTCTGAAAAAGACGTTGATAAAGGTGCATCGAATCAAGGATGTGTGAGGAGAAAGACAGCGAGCAAAATGGGGCCCAGGAGAATTCAATTTCTGGTCAAAATATGATTGAACCAATAGAGACTTATATTGTACAATCAAGTCCTTCAGATCTGTGCATAATGAAATCTGAAACAGATATTGTTGGAAAAGAGGAAATATCACGAAAAGCTCATTGCAACATAACTGTGACGGATGAGGAGAACTCTCCATCAGAATCGATAGTCGATGTGAGAAAAGATTCTGAAAAAGATATTCGTCCGATTACATCGAGTCAATATCATGCTGAGAAAGACATCAAGCAAAATGATGGTCAGAGGAATTCCGTTCATAATAATATTATCTTTGAACAAAGAGAAAATAATAATGGGGAATCAAGTTCTTCAGACCCAGACGAAGCTGAGAGGAATATTGCAGGAGAGGAGGAGACCCCAATAGAAGCAGATGGTAACCTACAAGGGATGGACGAAAATAAAAACCGGTCAGAAACTAGTGCAAATGGCACAGGAAAAGATTCTGAAAAAGACATTAACCTGGGTGCATTGACGCAAGTCCACAGTGAGAAAGAGGCCAAGCAAACTAAAGAGCAGGAGACTTTAGTTCCTAACGATAATATCAATGAACAAACAGAAAGTAATAACGGGAAAGGGGGTCCTTCAGATCCTAGCATAAACGAAGTTGAAACAGATGTTGCAGCGAATGAGAAAACATTAAGAAGAGCGCATAGTAACATACAAGACGAGAATGAACAAAAATGCTCATCAGAAGCGATCGTAAATGTGACGGCACGAAATTCTGAAAAAGGCGTTGATGAAGTTGCATCGAATCAAGGCCGTAATGAGGAATACAGGAAGCAAAATGGGGCACAGGAAAATTCAATTTCTGACGAAAATATCTTTGAACCAAAAGAGAGTAATAACATACAATCAAGTCCTTCAGATCGCTGCACAGATACACCTGAAACAGATAGCATTGGAAATGAGGAAATACCAAGAAAAGTTCATTGCAACAAAACGTTGAGGGGTGAAGAGAAATGTCAATCAGAATCAATCGCCGATATAAGAACAGATTCGGGAAAAGATCTTCCGTTTGCATCGAGCCAAGACCATACTGAGAAAGACATCAAGCAAAATGATGGACAGACGAATTCCGTTCATAACAATATTATCTTTGAACAAAGAGAAAATAATAATGGGGAATCAAGTTCTTCAGACCTTAACACAGACGAAGCTGAGAGGAAAATTGCAGGCAGGAAAGGAGGAAACCCTAGTAAAAGCAAATGGCAACCTACAAGGGATGGACGAAAATAAAAACCGGTCAGAAACTATTGCAAATGGGACAGGAGAATATTTTGAAAAAGATATTAACGTGGGTGCATCGAGTCCAGACCACAGTGATAAAGATATCAAGATATCTGAGGAGCAGGAGAATTTTGTTCCTGACTATAATATCAATGAACAAAGAGAAAGTAATAACATGGAATCAAGGGCTTCACATCCTAGCAGAAACGAAGGTGAAACACATGTTTCAGGGAAAGAGGAAACATTAAGAAAAACGCATAATAACGTACGAGGCATGGTTGAACAGGAATGCTCATCAGAAGCTATAGTAAATGTGACAGGACGCGATTCTGAAAAAAAGGTTGAAGAATGTGCATCGAATCGAGGCCATAATGAGAAAGACAACAAGCGAAATGGGGCACAGGAGAATTCAATTTGTGACGAAAACATGATTCAACCAAAAGAGAGTGAAAAAGATATTCGTCCGGTTGCATTCAGTCAAGACCAGGCTGAGAAAGACATCAAGCAAACTGATGAACAGGGAAATTTCGTTCCTATTAATATCATCATTGAAGAAAGAGAAAGTAATAACGGGAAATCAAGTTCTTCAGATATTAACACAGACGAAGCTGAGAGGATTATTTCAGGAAAAGAGAAAACCCCCAAAAAGGCAGAAGGCAATCTACAAGGGATGGACGAAAAGAAAAACAGATCAGCAACGATCTTAAATATGACAGAAAAAGATGCTGAAAAAGACATTAACGTGGGTGCATCGACTCAAGACCACAGTGAGGAACGCATTAAGCAAACTGAGGAGCAGGGGACGAGAGACAGCGAGCAAAATGGGGCACAGGAGAATTCAATTTCTGGTGAAAATATGATTGAATCAATAGAGTCTTATATTGTACAATCAAGTCCTTCAGATCTGTGCATAATGAAATCTGAAACAGATGGTGCTGGAAAAGAGGAATTATCACGAAAAGCTCATTGCAACATAACAGTGAGGTATGAAGAGAACTGTCCATCAGAATCGATAGTCGATGTGAGAAAAGTTTCTGAAAAAGCACTTCGTCCGGCTGCATCGAGTGAAGGTCATACTGAGAAAGACATCAAGCAAAATGATGAACAGGGGAATTCCGTTCCTAACAATATTAGGATTGAACAAAGAAAAAATAATTACGGGGAATCAAGTTCTTCAGAACTTGACACAGACGAATCTGAGAGGAATATTGCAGGAAAGGAGGAAACCCTAATAAAAGCAGATGGCAACCTACAAGGGATAAACGCAAAGACAAACCGATCAGAAACAATCTTAAATGGGGTAGGAAAAGTTTCTGAAAAAGACATGAACGTGGGTGTATCTACTCAAGACTACAGTGAGAAAGACATCAAGCAAACTGAGAAGCGGGGCATTTTAGTTCCTGACGGTAATATAAATGAACAAAGAGAAAGCAATAAAAGTGAATTGAGTGCTTCAGATCCTAACACAAACGAAGCAGAAAGAGATGATGCAGGAGAAGAGAAAACGTCAATGAAAATAGATGAGAACCCACAAAAGAAGGTACAGAAGGAACGATCAGAAACGAACGCAAATGGGGTAGGAAAGTGTTCTGAAAATGATATTAACCTCGGTGTATCGACTCAAGAGCACTGTGAGAAAGACATCAAGCAAACTGTAGATCATAGGAATTTAATTCCTGATGATAATATCATTGCAAAAATAGAATGTAAGAACAGGGAATTAGGTTCTTCAGATCCTATCTCAAACGAAGCCGAAAGAGATGTGGCAGAAGAAGAGAAAATCTCAATAAAAATAGATGAAAACATACAAGGGATGGACGAAAAGACAAACCGATCAGAAACGCTCGCAAATGGAGCAGGAAAGGATTCTAAAAAAGTAATTAACCTGGGTGCATCGCCTCAAGACCAAAGGGAGAAAGACATCAAGCAAAATGAGGAGCAGGGCAATTTAGGTCCTGACGATAATATAATTGAACAAAGAGAAAGTATTAACAGTGAATCAAGTCTTTCAGATCCTAGCACAAACGTTCATATCATTGAACCAAAGCAATGTGATAACGGAGAGTCAAGGCCTAGCACAAATGAAGCGAAAGAAAATTTTGAAGGGAAAGAGAAAGCATCAGAGAAAGGAGTTAAGAGCCTAAAAGAGACGGAAATGAAAGAGAATCCACTCTCTTGTCATAGTGTCCATATGAGAAAAATATTTCGTAAAAAATATCCGCCAAAAGAGCGAAATTTTGATTCGAAGCGAAATTTTCGACGAGCATTAAAGGATAAAAAATGTGAACGAGATATCCTACTTGTTTCTGGGACAGAAGCTTGTAAAAGAGCTGTTGAATTAAATATGTGTTCTGCTTATTGTGCAGGAGCAAGTAAATCAACTGAGGCTCAGTTAGAATCAGATACTTCCAATCAGATGTCAAGTGAAATAGAAAAAAATATTCATGTAGAAAACGTTCAGATTAAATCAGAAAATGAAAAATGTAGCCCAGCACAGCAGTGCATTTTTGAGCAAGAAGGTAATACGGACACTGAAAAACATCTACCGAAATCATTTCATTCAAGTCCGTGTAGAAAACGAGACTTTCAGCAACACATTAATGTAACTGTATCAGTGAATATAATTAAGAAATTTATGCCATCTGTTTGTGAAGAAAAGGATAGTGAAGAAAATGAGGTTACTGAAGTGAAAAGAATTTCTGTAGATAAGCATATAAGCAATATGGGAGAAGATATGCCATCTTTATATGCGGAAGATACTACTGAAAGAAAACGTATAAGTGACTCAGTTCTGAACATGGGCGGTGTCAAGGCCGATAGTGACATAAACGTTGATGTTAGTAATACAGATGATCAACAATGTGAAAGAAATCTTATAAAATATGAATGGAAATCAGATCAATTAGATCAGAGTGCGAGCAACACTAAAGAGGTTTCTGAGGCCAGTGGCAGTCAAGATATGCAGACAAAAGGAATGTCTGAGCAATTTATGGAATCGTTTCCTATAGAACATGATAAGAAAAAAGAAAACACATGTGAAGAAAGC